CGTATTTGATTTAACTCGTGATAAAGAAAGTCCCAACGGTGCTTCGAGCGTCGTCGAAGGGAGTGTGATGGTTTGTCTCCGGCGGATCTCGCGGGATTCGGTTGGCGTTTGTCTTCGGTGGATCCATGTAGATCCGGTCTTCGTTCATGTGTGTTCGTATGTCTATAGGTTGGATCCTTCTGATCTACGGCTGGTTGTAATGGTCTTAGGGCCTTAGCATGATAATTTTTCAACTGTCTACTACAACAAGTTTTGCCCGGCTCCAGTGAGGGACGTGCGATGACGGCAACGTGTCTTTGGCTCGCTCCAGTACTTGTAGTCGTCGCTATGTGCTCGACGTACCTGTATGTAATTTTTACTTTTGGTGTTCTTTGTATTACCTTGACAGTTGATGAATACGGAAGTTTTGTTGCAAAAAAAATGCTGGTACAAAAATGGAAGGTATATCAAGATGTGCATCTACACTTTTCTCGATTAGGTTCCAAGAGTGGTGGTCGTGTAGCTTGTTGCACCATCTAAATGAGACAAAAAATGAGAATGGACTGAGCAAATTGTACGTGTTTGTTTGCTCGAGATCGTGGAGGTGCACGTTTGGCAAGTTGGCTTTTTTAATTTTCCCAATCTTCCTTTACACAATCTATCTGTTTGTTCAGTTATCCCTAGATCCTCGAAAGTTGGTCTAAAAATAATGAACTTTTTTAGACCGGAAGTACTTGCCCGGGCTTAAACTAAAGCCTTTTACAAGTTCAAACAAATACGTTTGAGAGATCGAAAAGTCGGAAGACGTGTGATACATGGCCAGAACTAGGCTAACATAGCGGCGCAGCGCCAAGCATAGGCTGCTATATAACTGGACTGAATCATAGGCTGCTAACTGGACTGAAATAAATCGATCGAATCCTTTCGGGCTTCCGCTACTCATCCATGCTTGCATGCATGTGTAAGTGGTGCTCTGTAAAATTTTGCAAGTTGTGGTGTAATTTTATGGTAAACCATGTGGAACCATCTACTCTAATTAACAACCGAGAGCCCTTGCTTGGATATATGATGGTATATGAGAGAGTAGTCAGTCCATCTGTCCATGCATGGATGGATGTAATTAGCTAGTTACCTCTCGAAATAGAAGGCGAAGGGCGCCATGAAGGCGGTGGCGACGATGTTACGGTAGACGACGAGGACGAAGTGGCTCATCCCGGCCTTGAGGGACGACACGGCCACGATGTTCATCCCGGCGAACCCCACCTGCAGCAGCACCATCGCTAGGTATGGCTTCACATCGTTCAGAACTCTCCATCCCATACCCATCTCTCTCTCTCCCCCTCTGTCTGGCTAGCTAGCTAGCTTCTCTCACTCAGCAGCTCGAGCTCGATGTGAAGCAATGGCTGTGACTAACGAGGCGATGAGCTCACACGGGAACCGTCTCCTTTATATAGACGCGCTCCGTCAACAATGTGCGGCCAACAGAACATGTAGTAGGGTTCAGGAGCTGGACGCCAAGTGTAGCGTAGCCCATGGGTGGATCCGAGTCATGGATGCGCCTGCCTCAGCATGCCCTTGTGTCCCAGTGCGAGCTTAGCTTGACAAGATGTAGCAGCAATACTTGTTAATTCCGGCAAAACTTGTTTCAACAAGTCCAACCAAGCTATCAATCAAAAGTGAGAGAAAAGGCACATTTCTCGTGGTCACGCGTCTCCCACGCACATTCCTCCTCTTCTGTTTCTCACCAAGAAGACACGATGCGATGGACTAGTGCCGAGAGTGTGCATAAATTTACGACCGGGGTGCTGCCTCTCCTTGTCTGCACAGACGAGGAATGAGAGGGGCGTCCACCTGAACGCAAATGGACGCAATTATGCAGGACGCAGCGTGTCGCAGTACCATCGGCGATCGACGACGTCCGGCGCCCAGTTGCCATGCCACGCCTAATGCTAGCTAGTGAGCCATGGTGCGCTCCGGTTAGGATTCACACAATCCCCTGCGTCTGTCCATCCATGGCCGCACCTCCGTCGAGTCAGAGAGATTGATCACTTTGCCTTCCGTTGAAGCCTCTGTTTGACCCTTCCAACGCATGCATCCATGAAGGTTTATGCAACCCGGCTGCCTGCATGCATGCACGGTCGTACCAGGATGACGGCCTCCGGTTTGATGGTACGGATGACGGGATTATTAGGCACGGGTGCTAGATGCGCTGCGTCTCATAGATTTACTCGAAACAGCCTTTCGCCCCTTTATAGATAAAGGCACAGACGACCGAACTGATACATAATGGTGAGAAAACCCTCATACAAGCACAAGTCAAAATGAAAAATAAGAAGGCACCGAGCGAGTGGCACAAGTGCCACTAAGCCAATGTGAAACATGAAAAGCAGGATAGGCCACTCCTAACACACTACAACCAAGACAACTTAAAAGGACCGGAGCCGTGCCGCTAAGAGAAACCACCGTGCCATGACGATCCGAACACAACACCAACCGTCTCAGTAAATTTCGTTGCTTCACAACCCACAGTGCTTTATATGGAGTGCTAGTTGGGCTTCTTTTTTTTTTTTTTGCGATTTGAAGGCACTGGGTTGAAGCGTTCGTGACTTTTAAGGAGTGGTTATTCTTATTTCTCCAAGTTTTGTATTTCTCCCAGGCATCGTCTAGCACTGGAAGCAAATCTTTGCTTTTGTCTGCCTTCCTAAACATCTCTGCAATCTGATCTTTAGAAAAACACAGGTTTTTTCTTCAGGCACCTGTGTAAGCACCTGCCGTTCTACAAGGCCTTAGATGCGCTGCCGGATCGCTATAATATAAACATCTCTAATCGATCCGTTATGGAGTAATTTAGAGGAGCAACGATTGAGTATCTTTTAAAGAAGTATATTTACTTTTCCAAAAAATTGTGATTTCTAACCCGTCTAAATTTAACTCCCTAAAAAAATTAACACAACTTTGTTTATTTTTAGGCCATTTAGTTAAACTTCACTATTCAATTATTTTATTATAAACGACATCCTGGTCATATATTTCATCAGTTCTTTGCCAAGAGAATCAATCCAAAGAAATTCTGTTGCTTCCCAACGCACGGTGCTTTGCATGGAGTGCTAGCTGGGCTGGTGAGATGCGAGCGCCGAGAGGAGGAGGACATACGGAGAGGCAACACGGAGCGACCGAGGTGGCTATGTGGTTCAATCCCCATCGAATCCCTCCAAAATGCGACGAGATCGATGACTGGGTGCGTCGAGTCCGGCGACAAGCGTAGATCCCTCGATTTAGGTGCCGACGACGAGAAGCGGCCGAATTGAGGTGGGGGAGGAGTCCGTCTACGGGTGGTCGGCGGTGGCGCGTGGTGGCCGGCGAAGACAAGTAGGACAGCATCGGAGTGGATGAGGAGCGGGGTGGGAAGGGTGTGCGGCCGAGGGGGTAAAAATTTACTCCACGTGTGGGAGACCAAATCACATCATATACGATAGCAAATCATCAAATATAGTTTTTTTTAGAAAAGGAGGATGACCCCGGGCCTCTGCATCTGAGCGATGTATACGTCCACTTTATTAATTATTCTCACAAGACTTTGTAAAGTCATACAACAATAAGACTAAAGCCGCCGTCTAAGTAACAAACTGTCGCTACACCTATTCAGTTGATGAAGGGGCGCAGATAGCCTGGGCCTAATACCAAACAGACATAGCAGCCAAGCCTAACATCTAAGATCTGAGACCCCAACCTAGCCACTTGCTGGGTTTGGGGCACACACACTGGTCCGGCGTGCTCTCAGAGGCCGCCGCCGCCAACTGCCACCGCTCCATCTTCAGAACTGTACTGATGCATCAACCTTGCTCGGTCTAGCTATCGTCGACGCCACCACGGCGCCCAACGGCACCTCCTCCCTGCGCGCAAACAGCTGAGCACGTCGTGGTCGCCACTGATGCACCTCAGCGCCATGCTGCCAAGTACCACCAGCCGACACAACTTGAAGTCCTTGGAAGATCTGTCGTGCGTAGCACCTGCCGACCAGACATGACAAAGCGTAGCACCTGTTGGTCAGGCGTGACTTGACATCTCCACCGAAACTCCGTGCAAGACGAAGCCGCTCCACCTCCTGCCTCTGACTTCCAGCGCTGCTCCATAAACGATGCTCCCAAGAGAGAAACGACACCGCAGTGTCGCCATCGTCCGATCTGGAACACCAGATCTCAGGGTTTCCCCCGGAGCAGCACGAGTGGGTCGATAGTAGTTACACGACGATGCCTCCATCAAGGTAACGGCGAGAACGCTGCCATCGCCTGCCGTCTGCTCGGTTTTCACCGGCAACCATGTCTCCCCTACTCGTATCCGGGACTAGATGATGGATCTCGAGATCCGATCACCAAGCCTCTGGCCGGCCATCTCTGGAAGAAGATGACCACCACGTCCACCAGCGTCATCACGCCGGGCACGCGTCGCCGCCGGCACCCCCAAGGCCGACAAGCCCCGACAAACATCACGCCTCGCCAGCCGCCATGGCCCAGACCCAAGCACCACCAGATCCAGATCGGATCGGGGTCAAGGACTCCAAGCCGCAGCCGCCGCGGAGGCAGCACCACTGGACGGTGCCCTGCCCTCCACCCCGCCGTAGAACCGAGTCATCGCCGGAGCTCCGCCGCACCACGCCGCCAAGCCACCGTAGGAAAGAACTCGCGCCGCCGCCAGGGGAGAGAGAGAGAGAGAGAGAGAGAGACGCGCCAGGGAGAGACCCGCCGCCGCCGGCACTGCCTGGGCTTTGCCCGGCTGTGTCCCTCGGCGGCGGCGAGGGGGGAGGGAGGATGGAGGAGGGCCAACGGCGGAGGGAGCTAGGGTTCCCCCGATCCTGAGTCACCTCAGAGAGGGACGCGGAATGAAAAATCTCCTACGGTGGCAGGCCAACTAACCTGGAGACCTGTCACGGATAACAGCACCACCTGCAGTTCCTCTGAGCACCCAATCATCAAAACTTGCGTCGAGGTTCAGTTTCATATAGCCCCTGGGGGAGGTGACAATCCTCCGCGTTTCACTTCTTCCTTTAGCGAAGCTACCGCTGCATAATTTGACAATGAAGCTCCGACAGGGCACGGTAAATTGAGCCGGTGATTGGGTGTGCTCATCATGAACTAGTTTTCTGCTCTCCCACCACAAGTGCCAACGGCCAAAGGCTATCGTCAGATCGATTCTTCCTTGGCCTAGCAGTCTCAAACTATTCGGGTGTGCCAATCAGATGTTCAAGGATAGCTTCACCTGCATGGTCACGGTGCATGCCTTGGAGATAACATTGCTAAGGCCTAACTCTTACCATACCTCCCTTGTCTTTTCGAACACCCGGAAGGTACTTGATAGTCTCTGGCCCCTCATCATAAGCTGAGCATTGCGCCTGTATCTTCATATATATGTATATCGGCCAGAATTGCTTGACACACGACAGTGCATTGCTCTCCACAAGAATATTTTGACTTTTGCCGGGCAGCTCGAACTCCATAATTTCTCCCAGATTGGGGGCATGGATGAGTTAGTGTTGGCGAGGCATAGGTGATAGGTGTGTGCTAGGTTTGACACGAATGAAGGTACTGTGCGGGCTGTATGTCCCCATGTGCAACAGGAGCGACTGAACAGGGCCCCCAGCATCGGAGGGCCCCAAATTGTTTGTTAATCAATGTTTCAACTGAGGCCCTAATACTACTAAATAACAGTTGGAAATATTTTACGCCAAGCCACCTACTATCCACAATTACCATCCATCAATGCATTACATGCTATCATCAGGTCTTTTGAGCTTGTCCTTCCAACTGGTGTAATTCCGTGCGAAAAATTACAGTGGTTGACAAAAACATTGATTCTTTTTCTTTCGCACATAAGACCTAATTTTGATTTGCACAGGGCCTCCGATTTCACTGGTACGGCCCTGGTACTGTGGTCTGTGGAATGGCCTATCCACTATCGCTGGCCACAAGCCCACAACCACCGTCTCAGTGTCTCGCGGCTTCTCCACCATCTCTTGTTTTCGTCCTGTACGACGCACTTTCCATGGCATGCTGCTAACTGGATAGGCACATTGTCTTTCAAAAAAAAAACTGGATAGGCACATGTAAAGTCGCACAGCCCAATTTTTAGATACATTATAACCGCGCAGTTTTCCTGGCCTCTCACGCCCCTACTTGTTTCAGCCGTCAGATCTCATGATGTGGGCGTTTTTTGCCGTTGGATGTTCATTTAACGCAACAATTTTCTGGGCCGCTGCTCCTTCAACAAAATTGGAGCACTGTGATTGACTAGGCAAAGAGATTCCAACGGGCTCTCAATGCGCATCGGCC